AAAATTGCTGAGTAAATGTTAGGAGCTGTATTCTATTATATTGTAGATGCTTTTATTAGGAGACAAGATATATGTCACTGTAAAACAGTAAAAAAATTGGCTTTGATTTAGTTCAAACGAACAAACATTTGGCGTCATCCGGATAGCCGAATTCGGATCGGAATTAATCCGAGTATAAAAATATTACTATAGGAAAAAACACGAAGTGGAAGTAGTGTCCTGTAATAGTCTCTGAACTGTGTCTACAGTTAAATGTTGATAGAATTGGATAAATTTAGCTGATTTTAACAGATACGAAACTGTTCTTGGTTACCCTTTTTCAAATCAGTCGTGTGGTGCGTATAGCTGCGATCACTTGTACCGTCATTGAGTATCTATATACCACATATACCACATGGTGCAGATATAGAGGTGTTAATATGCGAGCAAGTTAATTTTTTACTTGGCCGTGTAGTTGTTTTTTGGTGTTTGATATTTGACTATACGGCCATTTCACTGAGGTTTTTGGGCTTAATATTATTGGAGTATTTGTGTAGCACTTTCCAAAAAAAAAGTTTCTCAAAAGCGTTTATCAACTCAAGTATATATATATATATATATTTATAATTGAAAATATGACTCATGTAAGATATTTACAGGTTAACATGATAAAGAAGCATCAGCGGCAGCCAGCATTTCTCTCCATTAACCCCATTAAGTATAAGGAACATTATTGAAATATTTAAAGTATTCATTTAGTTATTTTCAATAACTTAATATGACGATTTGCTCATTGGTTTTGTTGCTTCCATCAGCGTTGCATTTGTACTAACGATCTAAATGTGCAGCGTGTGGAAGCGTATCAATAATAATGAAATCTGCAGCATATGCATTTTGTTCACGTGGTCGGTGAACTTCAGTTAATCATTTATTTAAATCCAAGACTTCTTATTTTCTTTTTGGTTTTGGTAAATTGACTTATTTTATTTATAAATGAAATTTTTGTCTTTATTCTTTTCATTTAAATATTGATTTAAAAATCGTTAATTTTGAATGTTTTGTTATTGTTTCACGCAATGGGCCGTCCACCGCTTAATAAATCAACTACATTCAGCTGTTCCAAAGTTTAGGGAGTTATTTTAATATGTAAAAATTGTTCTTGTTATTATTTAATTAAACGTTTCAACATCATTTTTAATTCAATAAAGAGGTTTCTGTTGATTTTTACTGCGTCAGCGTTATTTGAAAGAAATGATTCTTTGTCATAATAGCTCAAAGATAGGGCGCTCGGAGCTACCATCCAAACAGCATTGAGTTGAGTATTCTTAGTTTTACGTTTTTTAGAAATGAAAGATATCAATCAAGCAAATCATTTTATTCATTTATAGCCAAATCTAGGAGATTTTTGTCAATAAACTGAAGTAAATTTATCCATAATTTATTCTAATTAAATAAAAAACAATATTCACAAATAAAATTGATGTTAAACTATGTATAAAAGCAAATGCATTTTCAACCACCGTAGTTCACTAATGTAATTTACAAATATATATATATATATATATATATATATATATATATATATATATATATATATATATATATATATATATATATATATATATATATCATTTTCTATATACAAATCATACTTATTTGTACATATCCTATGTCATTATAATACAAAATTGCGTTCTTATGAATCTTATAAACAACAATGAAAATAACAGCTCCTACTATCGAATTCGTGAAATTAACTAAAAATCACACAACAAATAATCGTTCCGTTGCATTTAGATTTTTTCAATTTCCATTATTGAATTAATTTGTTTAATTACGCCCCATGTTAGTCTCATTTTATTTGTTAGTCCTTCTCCGCAAGGCTATTATAACTTTCAACGTTACATAGTGTTCAGCTTAGTTATTAATTTTTTCTGATTAAAACTTCGACAAGCTTCTATTAATCTGTTTTTGTAACTTTTTCAATTGCTTAGAATTTTGTAGTTATTAGATAGGCAAGCAGTATTGACAATATGCAAGTAATCATTTGAAAAAACTTGAAGACTTATTTTTTCATTTTTGTTTGGTGCTTGTTGAACGTCTTTATTCCAAACTGATGCAATATTCAAAGCCAATACAAACTGACGGTTGATTGATGCAGTCATAAATATTCCACTTTTTCAAGCTACTCACCAAAATTTAATCTCTTATTTAAACGAACGTTTTATATTTTGAGGATGTTCGCCAACGCTACTTCGCTGCCATTTCATTTTCATTGCCACTTACGCGCACATTACCTATAATGTTCAANCT